TGAAGGTAGCGGAGAACACACTTCATGGCAGTAAGATGAGTGCCGCGAGGAGTATGTAAGATCAGGACATGTGAATGTGAGATACTGCAATGTACCAACAATGGACCTGTAGAGAGTGGGATCGGTAAGAAGGGTGCCAGATGAGGCCGCCAGCTTTGCCTTGCTATCCACAGGGGTGGAAATAGGCTTACAGTTAAGCATGTCAGCTCGTTCCAAGATCTCGTGAGCAAATTGTGTCCGATGAACTGAAGAAAGAGTCTTCCTGAAGTGCGCTGGACATTAATCCCATCCCAAGGAAAAAATTTAGATCCCACATATCTGTCGTAGCGAATTCTCCCTTGAGGCTGGTAAAGCAGAGGAGAAGAAGAGACTGTGAGAACGATGTCATCCACATAAAGTAACAAGTATGCCGCCATATCATTCCCACGAGTGTAAACGAAGAGAGATGTGTTGCTTTTACATCCTCAAAAGCCTAATGTAAGAAGAAAGCCTGCAAAGCGGTGATACCAAGACTCAGGAGCCGGCTTGAGCCTGTATAATGCCTTTTTCAACCTGCACACATAATTTGGTCGTGCCGGATCCAAGAAACCAGAGGGCTGACTAGCATAAACAGATTCATGGAGTGTGCTGTTGAGGAAGACATTTTTAACATCCAGCTGATGAATTGGCCATCCTCGTGTGAGAGCAAGAGTGAGAACAACCCAACCGGACTAAAGGTCTCCTCGTACTCAATTCCAAAGCGCTGATTAAATCCACGAACCACCCATCGAGCTTTGTACCTGGACAGTTCACCTCTAGGGCCAAATTTGTGGCGAAAAAGCCACTTGCTGATAGGCGTATCGTAGCACCTACAAATTAATTTATTATTTTCCTTAACTTAAATCCTCCTTTATGAGTTAATATTAATTAAAACATATAGATAAGGAAAAAAAGGGTCGATCCCACGAGGAAAGATAATTTTTAGGCTATGAAAATCTATTTACTTGTCATTTTTATTGAATAAAAACTAACTAAAATCTAAAACTAAAACTAAAAGATATGGGGGTTTGAATGATAATTCTAAAAAGGTAAAAATGCAAATAAAATAAAGATAAAGGATAACAAATAACAGATACAAGATAAAACCACAGCAGCAAGCTAAACTCAGAAGAACACTCAGGGAGAAACAAATACACAAAAAAAACACACATTAAACTTTATAAAAACTTAGACAATAATAAATAACTCAAACCATTTTTGAAAATACTTGTAGTTTTTAATAGAAAATAAATTGAACAAATCTGATTAACCAATTAATTATGCCTTGATTCTGAAATTAAACTGCTAATTAAACTTAGGGTTAGGCTAAAGAAGAGGTCTACCAACAGTTCTTACCTATTTTCTCATTCATATTAGCTAATGTTAAGACCAACCCTAACTCTAAACCCTACTATCCTTAGCAACCCAAAGACCAACCCTTAAGTTACTACTAAGAATAGCGCATTAAGATTTGTGGAAAACATCAGCATAACAACTTTGCAGTAACACTACGGGTATTTAACAAAATCAGTTCGAGAACCTGGATTAGCAAAAACCACTTAACGAGGCAGTCAAGACTAATCAAGTGACACTTGGTTTTTAGAAGAGTTTGGCTATTTAAAGCACGTTGGACTTTAAAAGAATATCAATTTAAACTGGATTAGGCGCGCGTTCCTAATTTGGTCCAATTTAAGTTAAATCTTGTGAATAATAGTTCTCAGAACACCTTTTCGAGTTTAGACTTAACGGTAGCGTAGAGCTAAAATTCGTTCAAAATCAAATTGATTCAACAAGAACAACCAAATCAAAGATTTAATCTTTTTGTCAAACCATCCGGCCTAAGAAGATTTTATAATCCCAGAGTGAATCAATAAATCAAATTTAGACAATTCAACCTCAACACACAAACAATTCAACACTTATAATATAACTTAAACATTCAACACAAACTTAAAATTGATGTTCAAATTTAATATGAATGTTCAAATTCATCAATCGTAAATGTCAAGTAACCAACTCAACCAAAAGCTCAAGCTTGTGGTTGTGGCCTAGGAATGATTGTTATATACTCTAACACGCCCCTCACGTGCAGGCGTGACCTCTTTGAGCCTTGCACGTGAAACCTTAATTTTTTTAAACTGTATGGCGGTGAGTTTCGAACTCGTGACCTCTTGGTCATCAAGGCTCCGATACCATGTCAAAGAACCAATTCAACCAAAAGCTTAATGTTGTGGTTGTGGCCCAGGAATGATTGTTATATACTCTAACAGTAAATTAGTGAATTTAAAATCCTAATTAAAAAGAAGTAAACTCAAATACGGAGTAAAAAGAATAAACTAATGAATACTCCCCTGACTCCCTGAGTCCTCTGCCTCTGCTCACTGTACGAAGCCAAGAAACCGACGAGTTCAGCCGCGCCGGACCTTACCGCCGTTGGACCTCCAGTCTCCGTCGTCGGAATCACCATCGCCGGAATTCATGCCACCATCGCGCCGCTGGACTGCCGGGCCTAGGGGTCGGAACCCTAGGCCGGCTCCCTGCGCTGCTCCCGATCCGTCCTCTGCTCTCTCCGTTCGTGTTCCTCCCTTCCATTTCTATCTCCGTTTTTTTATAGTTGCAATTGGAAGAGCAGAGTAATTGTGTTTGGGTAGGAGAAGTACTCCTGCGATTTTTTCCCTTTCATGCTTGAGTTCACCACAAACTCTTCTTTTTTTTATTTCCTTTCTCATTTTCTTTTTGTTTTAATAAATGAGTCAATTGGACGTGGGACCAATTTAATGTTTGGGCTTGGCCCAATCTTCATTTATAAAATTGCTTTTGTTCTCCAAAATATATCTGAAAATATATCAAGAAGAAATAATATTCCAAAATAAATGTAGAATACAATTATGCTAAAAATTATGCATTTTATGTATAAAATGTAAACAATAGCCTAAAATGCTAAATAGAACAAAACATGTTTATTTAGGTATGAAATGCATATAATTTGTATTAAAAATGCTAAGAAGTGAGAAAATAAAATATGATATTTTGTGACTCAACACTTGCCAGTGATAACATTTTGTGTGGGATAGCGCGATACTAATTCCCATGTCTTGTTTTGACCAAAACACTAAATTCATCACACATAACATTGTACCAGTTATGGTCCTTAAGTGCACTACGATATGTGAGTGGGAGAGGGAGATTTGGGCCATGGAGTTAAGGTTTAGAATGTGTTTGGGCTTGGATATACCGACTTTGGAATGCGTGACCATCGGGTGGGTGGATAGGGTATTAAGTAGGCCATGGGGAGAGGGGTGGGGATCTTGGGCTGTTGGAACACGGGTTTACGCTGACATTGTACTAAAATCGTGTTCGTTTTGTGACATCTTCAAGCACCATCCACATGCAGTCATGTAGGGCATAGAGGTGTGTTTCCATCATGATCTTCCAATCATCATAACCTAGAAGAGAGAACTTGGGCAAACCGTGATCCATATTGTTCACCATTATGATCGCTTCTCTTTAATCTAAGAGTAGATAGTGAGAAGTTTGCTCCGATACCAATTGGTGGTCCCAAAGTGGTGAAATACAAAGTCTAGAGGGGGGGGGGGGGAACTTTGTTTCAATTTAAAAACTTTTTCGTTTCTTTTGAAAACGTGAAAATGAGTGTTAATATAGAGTTCTTGTGAACCTTAGATTGTGTGCGGAAGTTGGTGGGTTAATCGAGCAGTAATCAATATGGATGAGTTAGTTTCACAGTTAATATAATTGCAAGTATGAGTAAAGATAAAAGAGAGAGAGACACACAAACTTTAACGAGGTTCGAAGGTGGGGTAATCCTTCTACGTCCTCAAAATCCACTATGTAGTTGGTTGTTGAATAATGAACCAACAATTACACTTGTGTGAATTTTAGCACGGTATATCTTCGCAAGGCCAATGTTGCTACTGCACACGTGCTGGCTTTGTTGTTCCTTCGAAGGTCAAGCTTCTTCAACAACTGCAAGATCCGAACAATAGGACTTGCAAGATCAACTTGTAGGAAAGTTTATGTATCCCTTTTTTAATCAAGAAGTTTGATTAAAAGATGTATCCTTCAATGTGGTGTGGTACTTGAGGCTAGGAAACCTTCAAGTGTTTACACTATAGCTCTTTGGAAGGAGGAGAAGTTTGCTTCTGGATAAGGAGTTTAGAGATCTCTCTTTATCAAGCTTTTTGGCTAACTGTGAATGAGATGGATGTAGCTTGTTGTTGTTGTAATCTTCCTTGCTATCTCATCCATTCATCTCTAGTCTTCCAAGGTAGCTATATATAGTTGGATTGGGTAATCTATCCGTTGAAGGGAATAGACTATCCGTTGCATTTGCTGGCTTCAATTTTTGAACGAAGAGTGAGATTGAGGATTCTTCATTAGAATGAGTGTTTGGACATAACCAATTGTTTGAAGAAGAATTCCTTTTTCACAGAATCCGTCCTTTAGCCGTTGTTCAAGAATTCTGAACTGTAGCTCTTTATTGAGTGGAGTACTCAGTTTGTCTTCTAGTGCTTGTTTAGGAATTCTCGGGGAGCTCTTTAATTTGAGAGGTCCAGACTTTGTCTTTAAGTAATTTGTTCTTGAATCAGCTTAATTATCCTCAATCTAGCCGTTGAAAATCAAGAGATTGATTTTTCCTTACCAACGGGTAGAATTTCTTCATTCAAGACTTAGATAATTTTCTAAGTCTTTTTCTCACTTGTCTGCTTCTGAGAATTCCGGTCTTTCTTGAGGCATCTGGTTCTTCGCTGACAATTCCAGAAAAGTCATTCATAGACTTCCAGGTGAGAAAGAGATCCGCGCTAGTCTTCCGATCCGGATGACTTAGCCTTCAGCGGGTTGTTGCGAGACATTCGGTTACTGTGAAGTGTTCCAGATTATAGAATCTTCAAAGTAATTAACTGCTTTAAGAATTCCTTACTTATCTCTAACATATCCGATCAAATATTCCAATTTCCATATCACTGAATTTGATTAAGTCTTCAAAGATTGACATCAAACCACAGAGTGAAATTGTAACACCCCAATCCGTAAAACCCAGAATTACACGAATTAAGATGAAACGAGAGTAAAATAAAAATTTCGCTTGACATTTGAAAATGACAATTACTTATAAATATCAAATTTACAGACTCTGGATCGCGACCCATTTAAAAATATTTTCAGAGTAATGCGGAAGTACAACAATATACAAATCATGACACATTTAAAAATCTGATGATCAACATTTGCCTGCCATCCTTGCATCTCCTCTGACTCAATGCCCTCCGGGAGTGGTTCCATCATTGTCTTCTTGTTACCTACGTGTAGTCAACGAAAAATACAAACTACACGCTTAGCGAAACCGCTGAGTGGTACCACACTAGAATTGTAGAATGATTCTCAGACATATACATATACATATATATACGTCCACAAAATGTATAGTAACATTCATGATATGACACATATTATCATATGGTCAATTTGATGAATCATGATGATAAATATTTAATGAAAATTACTTGATGGCATATTTAATCAATATAATTATTCTTGATGATGATTACATGACACCTATGTAATCAATATAATTGTTCTTGATGATGATTACATGACACCTATGTAATCAATGTACTTGATGATGATAACATGATTTCACATTTAATCAATTTGATTATTCTTGATGATGATTACATGACACCTATGTAATCAATGTACTTGATGATGATAACATGATTTCACATTTAATCAATTTGATTGTTCTTGATGATGGTAACATGATGCATGATCCTATAACTTGAAAGGACACCCTTGCGCTATGAGATTCGCCCATTTGGTACGACGAACTCACACGGCCTTAGTCTCACGAATGAGGTGAGACTAGAAAAATAGGGGTGGTACTCGAAACCTGAATACCATGTACGTACACTAAGCCCAGAACGGGTGATGTCGGACTAGTAAGTCCCGCACATCACGCTATTAGAGAAGCAATTACGCATGATCTCTTACGCATGCATATGATATGATATGCTACAATATGTGTGATGAAATGAATGATATCGCATGAACAATTTGTAAACAATATGAATATATAATCATGCATTAGTTTATTTGGATGAAACATGATTAAAATATCATTTAATTAAGCTACGGGGCTCGGAACGGTCGACCGTTTGGCGAGACGGTCGACCTTGGTCTTCATCAGGTCGGATTGGCGGATCACCGTGACGGTCGACCATTGTTGACTGGATGGCGACGGCGATTCTCGGCTGGGCAGGCGACGGTCGACCGTTGGCCACCGGCGGTCGACCGTTTGTCTCGGGGTCTATTTCGATGTTTAATGCGACGGTCGACCGTTTGCGTCGACCGTTTGGGTCTGCGAATCTTTCTCTTGATATTTTGAGTGTCCAAAATACTTCTTTAAGTCTTTTAAGCACCTTTGATTAACATATACATATTGTTGGGTTGATTTCCAAAGTTTATATTTACTTATGTGTATATTAACTTTATGGATTTGGTGTATTTTAATCTCAACATATAGATAACTTATATATGCATCACATATATATTTTGGAATGGTTTTAACATATGGAATAACATA